TGCACACTTAACCGCTGCGCCATCGGGCCAGCCCCTTACTTTATTAAATTTTCTTTTTATGAATATCTGCAAAGTGAGTCTTTTCTTTAATGAATGTGACTCACCAATATTTCAAACCAACATTTTTACTTCCACATTACTTATGATATTTTAACTCTGTCCTCCCTTCTTCATTTATTAGTTGAGATTTTTCTTTAACAAGAAACTCATCTACTCCTTGGTTATTGGTGGTTCAGTTCATATAGGAGAGGCAGGAAAAATGCTTGATTCTTTCCCTTTGTTTATAATGAGTTTATTCCTCCAATGGTGCCCATTACCTTTTTTTTTTTGTAAAGATTTTATTTTTTTTTCCGTTTTCTCCCCAAAGCCCCCCAGTACATGGTTGTATATTCTTCGTTGTGGGTCCTTCTAGTTGTGGCATGTGGGACGCTGCCTCAGTGTGGTTTGATGAGCAGTGCCATGTCCGCGCCCAGGATTCGAACCAATGAAACACTGGGCCGCCTGCAGCTGAGCGTGCGAACTTAACCACTCGGCCACAGGGCCAGCCCCTGCCCATTACTTTTTAAAGTACCATTATGAACCCATATCCATCCATTGCAATTATTATTCTTATTTATGCTCAAACTGTCCCATCTCGGCCTGTGGGAGACTTTGGTTTTTATTTATTTATTTATTTATTTATTTTTAAGCTTGGCACCTGAGCTAACGGCTATTACCAATCTTCTTCTTCTTCTTTTTTTCTTCTTCTTCTTCTCCCCAAAGCCCCAGTACATAATTGTATATTTTAGCTGTAGGTCCTCTGGTTGTGGAATGTGGGATGCAGCCTCAGCGTGGTCTGATGAGCGGTGCCATGTCCGCGCCCAGGATCCGAACCGGTGAAACCCTGGGCCGCCGAAGTGGAGCGCACGAATTTAACCACTTGGCCACGGGGCCGGCCCCTGGGGGAGACTTTCAGTTGGCTCCTGTGTCCTCCTGAAATGACCTTAGCAGTCTTTGATAGCTTTTAGCTTCCTTGCTTTCTGGTTTGACAAGCTGGTCCGGCCTCATCTTGAACATTCTGCCTCAAACCTGGAAATTGTGTTTTTCAAGGGTGATAAATCTGTAGTTCTTAAGAAAACCCACCTATCCAAAACACTGGCGGGCCTAGCATCCGGCCCCATGCTTGGTGCATAGTAAAGAGTTAATGCATGTCAGCTGGCTGAGTAAACCAATGATTATCACCTTCGCTGGATTTTAAGTTCCTTGAAGCCAGAGATCATATACTTCTGATGGGTATTTGTTGAACAGGTAAATGAAGGCATGAAAACCAACAAGGAGGTGGTAGCGCTGAAATCTCAAGAGGGCAGAGCCCTGACACTTGTGGTCCTCTGTCACCCTCTGGTGGGGAGGCAGGGCCTCGTCCTCCAGGGCCATAAATCGTCAAACTACAGACCCCCCCCCACCACGTTAGTCAGCTGTACAGTTAACCAGTGGGCTGTGCCCAGCCTTTTTAGCTGAATTTATAATTGAAGAGAATTATCAGAGTGCCTCACACACACTAGAGGCAAATTCTGTCATGAACGGTCATAAAGCTATATTTATAGCTATATCTATGTCTCTATTGGCATTATACACACACACACATATATATACACATTCATTTAGCCCTTGTGGTCTAGTGGTCAAGATTTTGTGCTCTCACCACCACAGCCTGGGTTCGTGTCCTGGTCAGGGAACAGCACTGCCCATCTGTTGGTTGTCATACTGTGGCGGCTGTCTGTGGCTGTGATGCTGAAAGCTGTGCCACCAGTATTTGGGATACCAGCAGGGGCACCCACGGTGGACAGGTCTCAGCAGAGCTTCCAGAGTAGGACAGACCAGGAAGAAGGACCTGGCCACCACTTTGGAAAAAGATGGCCATGAAAACCCTATGAAGAGCAGCAGAGCACTGTGTGATACAGAGCCGGAGGGTGAGAGGATGGCGCAAAAAGTCTGGGCAGGGTTCTGCTCTGCTGTGCAGAGGGTTGCTAGGAGTCAGAATCAACTCCGCAGCACTGATAATAAATCCATTCGCATGCTACAGATATATTTTTATGTGTCTACTCTATCGCAACCAGTGATTTGTTGATAAATGTTTAACAACTAGCTCTCTATGGGAAAATGTACAAATATATTCGTACATACGTTTGTTGCAAATGTTTCTGAATGTGAAAAATGTGTAGCACATAATTTATAAATTACATAAAATATATGATACTCTTTATTGTAAATTCTGTATGGTGAAATGATTCTCACAAATGCTTTCATTGATTTTTGCTGGACTCTTCTATCCATAGCCAACCTATAGTTTGAGTTCAACCATGTTTTGACAAACGAAGTTGCATCCCAATCTAGATCATCAACAAACCAAATAAAGCCCTGATTTGTAGCACTTGCCAATTTCCTGAGTGGAAATACTGTCACCACGGCTGACTTCAAGCTACCAGTGTGACATCACTGAACACGGTTTGGGAAGAGTCTCACAGTAGCATACTTTACAGATACAATGGATGTAAGCAACCCCGAGAGCATAGATAATAATAAAATATAATAATTAGGAAATGATGATTTGGGGGTAATTATTTTGAGTTTGTTAGTTTATATAGTATAATTTTTTTTTCCGCTTTATTTCCCAAATCCCCCCCAGCACATAGTTGTATATCTTAGTTGCAGGTCCTTCTAGTTGTGGGATGTGGGATGCCGCCTCAACGTGGCCTGACAAGTGGTGCCATGTCCGCGCCCAGAATCCGAACCCTGGGCCGCCGCAGCGGAGCGTGCAAACTTAACCATTCGGCCACAGAGCCGGCCCCTATAGCATAATTTTTAATAATGGCTGTGTTTGAGGATCAGTTTGCAAAAGTCTGGAAATCTAACAGTCTGCTCTCACAGGCCTGTATAACCTGGCTCCAGCACACCATTGGACTCACAACATAAATGTGCATTTCCTAAAACGGGTTGAAATTAAAAAAAAAAAAAAGATGAAAACTTCTCTAGGGACTTCAAGTTTTCAGGCCTGGGTTTAACCCCGTCTTTGAAAATCTCCAGGGATGAAGCTGAAGCATCTCAAATGGAACAACCCCATTTCCTTCCTACGGAAATAGAAATCTGCAGCTTTCAGGAGGTACATTTCTGATAGTTCCTCTGGGTGATGTCTAGAGTTCCTGTCACCCAGCACCCTTTCCACTCTTCCTGAGGTGGGGGATCAGCATCTGGATTTTGATCGGGGGAAACTCTTAGCTAATAATGTCCATGCACCTCCCTGTTCTTAACATGATGCAGCTACGGAACTAATAACTGAGCACCTGACAATCTTCAGGAGATAAAGATGGTTTCAGATACTATTTACAAGCTGCCTTCACAAATAACATCTTTCCGGCTATGGAGTTTCTATTCCCAATTAGGAAAAGCCAAATTGGTATAATCACCACTGTATTTTGTTTTTTAAACCTAGCTTTTTGAAGGCCTTGCTACAAAAGACCTCTAATTGGATCAACACAGTTTATGGATATGAAGATCATCTTGAGATGGTTTTAAGGAATTAATACTTTTATTCTCGCTAGTTTATTGACTCTCTACATAAGAGATTTTAAACATTAGTCATTACAGGCATAAATCAGGCCAGTGGTTCCCAAAGTGTGTTAGCTACCCTTGGTTTAGGGATGTGAGATTATTTCAGGAAGCTGGAGATGATGAATATTTCAATAGACACGTTTTATTTGTAACAGAAGAAACATAACCGGCATGCAGAATCCATGATTCCATGGATGTTTTTGCTTGCCAGGCTATTCAGTAGGTGTCTAAGTTCTAAACGTGTATCGTTTAAAGAAAAATGTTAAGTAAATAATAGTGCTGGTGGTATATGGACATAGCAAAAGCAGTTAAGGTGGTTGTAATGGGTTGAATGGCATCCCCCAAAAAGACACATCAAAGTCTTAACCTTTGGTACCTGGGAATGTGACACTATTTGAAAATAGGGTCTTTGTAGATATAATAAAGGGTGTCAAGATGAGATTATTCTGGATTTAGAGTGGACCCTAAATCCAATGACTACTGTCTTGTAAGAGACAGAAGGAGAGAAGACACGCAGAGATACAGAGGGGAGAAGCCACATGAAAACAGAGAGAGACCGGAGTGATGCAGCCACAAGCCAAGGAATGCCAGGATGGCCGTCAGTCACCAGACGCCAGGAGAGACCCACGGCTGGGCTTCTCCCTCAGAGCCTCCAGAAGGAACCAATCCTATTGCCAGCTTAATTTCAGACTTCTGGCCTCCAGAGCTGTCAGAGAATAAAGTTCTGTTAAGCCACCGAGTTTATGGTCATTTGATATGGCAGCCCGAGGAAAGGAACACAGTGGTGAAAAAATGACTCAAGGCCGGGAAACACTGAATTAGACACTCAGCCCTGACAGGGGATGAGAGCGCTTGACTCTGTGATGAACTGAGTGACTCAACACCCTCATCTGATCTCATTAACCCCCAGCGTCCAGCATTTTCACTCAATACAGTTGTTTTTAAAGTAAAAATAAATCTAATAATTTTACAATAATTATTTTATGCATTTATTTTCTCATGTCCCTATACCTGGACCACCGTAATGAACCTCGAGTTCCTAAACTAATTCTTGGGGGAGGCTGATCTCCTCTTGTCTCCCCATTTTACAGATGAGAAACTAAGGCTCAGCTGGAGGAGGTGTCTCCAGGAGAGACTAAAAGATGCTGTACCACGGCTCCTGTTCCTACGGTGTGACATTTATTCTTCCCCATCTCAAGCACACACTCCCGCAGGCGCTTTTTCCCCGGATCAGAGGAAGACACAGTGGCTGAGACACGAAGCTGCTGCGTCGCCCAGCGGCCGGAGGCGAGAGTTGAGAGACAGGGGCGCTGCAGAGGCCGCGAGCGGCCAGGAGGGGGAGCACGCGGGCTCCGGGGCGTGCGCGCGCGCTCTTCAGGGGTGGGGCCCGCGGGCGGCGCGCATGCGCCCGAGAGGAGGTGCCGGCGCCGGCCGGGCGAAGGGCCAGACGGTGTCCGAGAGGGCCGGGGAAGGCGGACGGTGGCCGACGAGGTCCGCGAGGACGGCATGGAGCATCTGGAGCGCTGCGCGTGGTTGCTCCGGGGGGCGCTGGTGCGGGCGGCCGTGCGGCGCTACCTGCCCTGGGCGCTGGCGGCCTCCATGCTGGCGGGCTCCGTCCTCAAGGAGTTGTCCCCGCTGCCCGAGAGCTACCTCAGCAACAAGCGCAACGTCCTCAACGTGTGAGTGCGCCCCGCTCCTCTCCCGTCCCCGCCGCGGCCGGCCCGCTGTCGCCTGGCTGCCCCGAGGGACGAGTGGTTGGAAGGGGAGGTCCTCCCAGTCGTGACATCAGCATCTGCACGAGTGTCGCGACTCAGGGACCCCGGGATGGTTGGTGTCGTTCGCAGTTCGTGTTTGCACACCCAAACCAGACAGCCTGAGCTCGCCTGGGCAGGGGGTGAGGAGCAGGGTTGTGTATGCGTGTGTGGGGGGGTGTGAGTGGGAAGGGGGAATGACCCAGCCTGTGTCGCTGCTCCCCACCTCCCCTTGGAGTTAGGAGTTGGCCCCTGCCCCGAGGGAGATGCCACCTCCCTCCTGCCTGCCTGTGTCATACCCCGCGCCTCCACCCTAAGCCCGATCCCCCCAGCTTGTGACAGAATCCCATCTCCACCTGTGAAAGACCTGCCTTCTGACCCCCACCTCCCTTGAGAGCCCTGTCCCGACCTGTGATATCACCCCCGCTGCAAGATAGTCCCGGAGGAGTGGAACCCTCCAGTCTGTGACCTTTCCCCTGCATCTCCGTGGACCTTCGCAGTCCCTCAGAGGCATGGCAGTGGCCCAGGAAAGCAATGCCAGCTGGGTTCTTTGAGACATCTCCTTAACTCCGCCCACCCACTCCTTTTTTTTTTTTTTAACTCCTGAATTTTTAAGTTTATTGCATAAAAACACTGTTGCAATAGTAAAGGGAAGCTCTGAAAGATAAAACTTCTGCCTTGGTGTGAGCCTAGATTCTTCTGCCAAATTATGGTGTCAGCGGTGTCTCCCCAAAGTCAGCCCAACTTTGGTTATCTTCTTAAAACCATGGCTTCTCTCCTAGGCAGCTTCGCTAGATGCCTGACAGGTCCTGGCTCTGGCCAGTCCTTTGCATAAGTGGTCCCAGGGAAGATATCAGTGACAGGCCCTTGAGTGGGGTCTGGGAATGCTTTGGAACCCAGGAAAGAATCCCTCTGTCCTTGGCCCACCTTCGTTTCTTAGCCTGCGCTAAGAATAGATTATGAGAGTGGTAGTAGCCCCGAGTCTGTTGCATGTGTGTTCACGGCAGGTCCCCGGCTCAGCCACCTTTGGTGAGCACAGGGAGGCAGACAAGGCAGCTGCTGCTTTATCTGGCCTGGGTGAGTGAGAGCCAGGCAGCCTGGCAGACAAGTCCCTGCTGTTTGTGGGTAGCCGTGGATTCTGGCGTTTTGTTCCAAGCCTCTGTGGTAATTATTGGAAGGGAACTAGTGAATCGCTGGCTCTGGAAGGGATTTTAAAAGTCATTTGGTCCCCTCAGCTCTGTGTAACAGCTGAGGGAACTGAGGCCTAGAGAAGGGTGGTAGCACGTCAGAGTGAGGATTTGAACCTGGGTCTCTGAGCTTGAAGTCAGGCTCCGTTCCAAGATCATTTCTGCCGTGGAGGAAAGAGCCGTGGTGTAGGAAAAGCGTGGGCTTTGGGGCTGGCCAAGCCCTGGTTTCATCTGTGCTTGTGGTTGTGTAAGTGTGACGCTGGGCAAGTTATTGAACTGTTCTGAGCCTCAGCTTCTTTATCCGTTAAATGGGGCAAATGAGACCTTCCTCCCAGGGTAGCTGTGAGTGTCCTATAGGAAGGTGAAGGTGAGTGAAGGCTCCTGGCATTTGGTAGATGCTCGGGTATCATTACTTTCCTGAGCAGATAGCATAGTGCTTAAGATCACAGACCCTGGATTTGAATCCCAGCGCCGCCACTTACGTCCTCCACTTTGGGCACGATACTTCTCTGTGCCTCAGTTTTCTTCTCTGTAAAATGGGGATAATAACAGTACCTACCTCATAGAGTTGTTTAAGGATTAAATAGCTGATACGTTTAAAGTACTTAGTAAGTGAAGTTGCTATCTGGAGCTTTTATCCGCTTTTCTCATTTTCCCTCCCTTGCGAGTCTAGACCTGAGCCGTGACATTGTTTCCTATCCGCCATGTCTCCTGTCTTCACTTCCGCTTTCCTCCTCTGCCAGGTATTTTGTCAAAGTGGCCTGGGCCTGGACCTTCTGCCTCCTCCTGCCTTTCATTGCCCTCACCAACTACCACCTGACGGGCAAGGCTGGCCTGGTGCTGCGGCGGCTGAGCACCCTGCTGGTGGGCACGGCCATCTGGTATGTGTGCACAACCCTCTTCTCCAACATTGAACACTACACGGGCAGCTGCTTCCAGTCGCCGGCCCTGGAGGGCGTCAGAAACGAGCACCAGAGTAAGCAGCAGTGCCACGGCGAGGGGGGCTTTTGGGATGGCTTCGACATCTCAGGCCACTCCTTCCTGCTGACCTTCTGTGCCCTCATGATTGTGGAGGAGATGGCGGTGCTGCACGAAGTGAAGACGGACCGAAGCCACTGCCTCCACGCCGCCATCACCGCCCTGGTGGTCGCCCTGGGCTTCCTGACTCTCATTTGGGTGTGGATGTTTCTGTGCACGGCCGTTTATTTCCACAACTTGTCCCAGAAAGTGTTTGGCACCCTGTTTGGTTTGCTGGGCTGGTACGGGACATACGGGTTTTGGTATCTGAAATCCTTTTCCCCAGGACTTCCTCCCCAGAGCTGTAGTTTGAATTTGAAGCGAGACAGTTACAAGGAATAAAAGAGAAACAAAAGGGGTGATAGCAGGTCAGTGACTAATCTATTCTCATTTATTTTTCTTAGTTATTTGACTAAATTATTGGTCCTACTTCAGAGAGGAAGCTCGTCAGGCAGTTTTAGGGGGTGACGGTGGAGTCCGAGGAGGGAGTTCAGTCTCCAGACTTCTTGGCGACGTGACCCTGTGTCACAAGCACCACCATTTCCAAGCAGGCACTTTGCATCCCTGGCAAGACTTGACCTTAATCTAGACCGTCCCTTTTGTCCCTGGAGCGCAGAGCTGAAGCTCAGCGAGAGGACAGAGTCAGGAAGGCCTCTGTTGTGTGGCCGGAGGGGAGGCCAGGGCCTCAGGACTCCTCTGCTGCCATCATTCTCCCTGACTCCTAGATGTCTTCTGTTTAACGGCTGTTTATGCTGTTATTTACCAGTATTTCTCTCTGGTCAATTTTTCATAAGCATTTATTTCCAGCAGGGTTCTCTATAAAACAGCCAGCCACCTGAAAGACACTCTCTGGTTGTAGTGTTTGTTTCATCCGTGGAATGTTAAATATTCCAGCTGGCTCGTGATTAGCTCCCAAAACTGTTAACCTGGAGTGTCTCTGCCTCTCAGTACTGGATGATTTTTATCTAAGGAACATTGATAATTTTCTATCCGTGTTGTCTATTCTGTGTTGATTTTTGGAGCAATAAGGTTACCTTTTTTCTTAGTGAATGCTTTATGGTTTTTAATAACAACTATGGCATTTGTTCTTTGTCAACAAAACTGAAAATAACTCCCAACTTCAGGGCTGCACTTTGGTACGTGTATAGAGTGCTTTGAGTTTTTTTTAGAACACTAATTTACTTTTTATAAACCAATGTCTTGGCTTATAGTATTCAATTCCACCTCATGGGGCTGTTTTCTCTGTTAAGAGTAAAGCTGGAAAGCGGACATTTTAATAATAACTTGATGAATCTTAAGCTGAGTGAGAGTAATTTTGCAAAATGTCTATTTGCACTGAAACTTTCCTCACCACACATTGGTGGCATAGACTCAACAGTGCCTCAGAGTCATACGACAAGGACACTGATCAGTCTGCCGTGGCCCAAGGCATTTTTACCTTTTGCACAAGATTGTGGTTAAGTCAGAAGTGAAGGAAAATATCTTCCATTGCCTCTGATGGCAAGAAGCCAAGCTGTTTGCAAAAATGTCCTTATTAAATGGTGGCATGACTTTGGCTTCACTCTCTACCACCAAGAAAACCAAACCAGACCTGGGCCTCTTCAACTGACCTTGAAATCGACCTTTTGTTTCTCTTGCAGCTCTTCTCAGTTTCCATCCTTGTCCTTCTGTGGCCTTCACTGTGAGTGTGCTGGGAAGGGTTAGAAATCCTGTCACCTCCCACCACAAAGGCGTGGTTACATGCTCCCTGTTAAGATACCCCTCCCCTCTCCCAGCTGTCTCAGTAAGCCTTTCAAACCAAGCCCCTTGCATTTTGGATAATCATCCTGGAAACTTCTTTGATGTCCCTCCCCCCAGTCAAGCCTGATAATAGCATTAGCTGATAAGCACTACACTTGACTGGCTTAACTCAAGCTTAGGCTGTTAGGAGCTTGGGGTCGGAAAATCTTCAGGGTAAATTGTATTTCATGTAAAGATGTATTTAAAATATGTAGTTCGTATCCTGTCAGGCTGTGGGTTGACTTGTATTGATCAAAACGTGAGATGTGATATGTGGTACCCAAAGTGCAGAAACACCTGCGGTGAGAGTGCAGAGGTGTCGCCATGGTGCTTTGGGAGCACTGGCAAGATGGGACAGGCCCCATGGGGACTTTTGTCCCCTCTGGAGTTTACATCCCTAAACTGGGGGTGGCAGTGGGGCTGGGGTAGGTGGTGGGGCTTGTTGAAGGGATTGACATCTCTCCTAAGCTTCAGGTTCAGCACCAAAAGGCAACAGGCACAGGGTGGCTTCAGAAGTTCATTCGTCACACTTAAGTCTCCAGACGTCTCTCTCCTGCAGGTCTGAGTCAGGCTCAGCGGTGAAGGAACTCTGTGGAGTGTCGGGTAGCGAGCCTTGCGTGTTGACTGTCTTCCACCATTGCCGGTTCCGTCCTGGCCCCCTTGCCTCTTTCTTGGGAGCGTGCACTCTCTCCCTGCTTGGGACAGCATGGCGCAGCTCAAAGAGTTTGGGCTTAGGCTCCCGTGAGATGTGGGCTCAAGTCATGGCCTCACGACTGAGAGCTGTCTGACCCTGGGCAAGCTTCATTTTCCCCCTCTGTAAAACGGAGGTGATCCTGTTAGGATTGAGGGAAACTATGCATGTGAAGTGCCCAGCACATGTGCTTAGCAGGCCATAATCCCCCGCCCATTTTTCTCAACTAAGCCTTTAGAAATTTTTGACTCCTCTGGAGAAGGCAGGGAAACTAACACCTTCTTTTGAGTGCCGTTTGGGGTCTGGGTCTCCCTGTGAAATAGGCTTGTTTTGTGTTTTGAAGAGTGTCTGTTGTCCCAGGTGCTGAACAAGAGGCTTTTGAGGGCTTCCGTGACCACAGAATACTGCTGTGCTTGTTTCCCTCTCCACATTGAGAGGTTCATTCACTGACGCCTCGTTTTCCACGTGCATCTGTCATCGTCTGAGTACCAGATTGTGTTTAGAGAATGGCTCTTGCCACTGTTATGTGCACACAGATCGTATGTAAACAAGCAAATTAAGTAAACTGGAGATAATGAAATCCCACATTCCGGCATTTCGTGTGTTCCTTTCTAAAACCCTTAAGAAAGTCCGGAACCAGTAAAGCTCAGCCCAGTTTATGAAAGTAGGGTAATTCTGTCTTGAGCTACTCGTTATATAGAGGCTGTTTCATAGCTGTAGTTACTCTGATTTTTTCTCCTAAATCCTGTAAACTAAACATGTGTTCAGTCATACATTTCTTAGCTTGCTTTACTCTTCCCTCCATACCCACGTCTTAGAGTCCTGAGGTCTGGATCAGCCAGATTCGGGAGCAGTTTTCTTGGCAGAAGGAGAAGGGGTAAGCCCACGGAAATAACGCTGAAGAGCACTTACAGAGTTCACTCCGGCAAGGTCGTCTTTGAAAGTGCCATGTAGCCCCGGAGGCCTGTACACACATGAGGCTCTTTTGTGCTGTTAATGCCCACTCATTTGTCAGCCTGACCTGCTTGGCACCTCCAGGGAGTGTGTGTCGAAAGCTCCGTGGCCCAGGATTAGGATCTCCTCATTCTGCAAGGCTTCCCTGTACAGATTCCTCCAGCAGCAACAAGCCCTTCTGGAGTTCATGCTGTGAGCCAGCAGCCGGGCTAGGCTGGTAAACTCCCTCCCTCGTGGAGTTTATGGTCCAGAGTCCATCCCTTCAGGGTTTAAGGTGTGTGCTGGGGTTGCAGAGGTGAATTTGATGCATCTATGTGTTCAAGGAATTTTCAGTCTTGTGGAGAAGACCCATAGGACCAGTGTCACTGTAAAGTGTTCTGAGCACCCAGGGCAAGATGAGGGCCTGAGAACAGGGAGGAGGCAAGCACCAGCTGCCCTGGGGTCTTGGGGAGTGTTTTTACTGAACAAAGCAATTCTTTTGGGTTTTGAAGGATGAGGAGGAGTTCAAACAGGTAGGCAGAGAAGGGAATCCAAGGAAGCGAGAACAGCATGCGCAAAGGCACATAGATATGTTCCCATGATTTTTGTTCATATATCCCTTCTTAAGAAACCTAACTTTCGCATCGTTTTCAAGAGCAACGGAGATTGAAGAAAGGCAGACTTAAAGAGGGACTGTCGATGGAGATCATGGGCTCACCCTGCTGTAATATAAAGAGCACTCAGCTAGAGGTTGGCATACCGTTCTGCCACTGCTTTTCCTGCTTTTCTGTGTGACCTTGAATTAGTCACTCAACATCTCTGGGTCTCCATTTCCTTATCTGATAAATGGTGGGAGTGGACTGGATAATTTTACCAAATCGTCTAGCCTATTCTGTTTCTCTGTTCTGCTTGATGAAAAGTTCCTCCCAAGCTGGTTGTCATTTTTATTTTAGGAAACAACCTGGAAAGAAACTCATACTTGGAGCTGAGGTGGCAGCTGGTTTCCCAGTGAGTGATGGAGAAACTGACCTGGGGGTGCACTTTACCACCCCTCCCCCTTTTCTCTGCATTGACAGCCCGGTGTAGTTCAGACCTGACTGCCTGGGTTCCTGTGACTCGCTGGACATGGGGAGCAGAACCTTGTTCCCAGAGGGATGGACTGCAGAAGCCTTTAAAAAGTCTCCAAAATCAAAACTTCTTTTCCTCCCTAAAGCCCCAGTATACGGCTGTATATCCTAGATGTAGGTCCTTCTGCTTCTGTGTGAGCTGCAGCCACAGCATGGCTACTGACAGACGGGTGGTGTGGCTCCACGACTGGGAAGTGAACCTGGGCTGCTGAAGTGGTGAGCCCTGAACTATAACCACTAGGCCATCAGGGCTGGCTCTCAAAACGTTTTCGGTAGCCATTGAGGAGAAGGTAGGTTCTGTCACAAGAAACCCTGTGCGGTTACAAGAAACCTTCAGATATTGTTCCAGAAACCCCTAACACAGTCTCTGGCGAGTTTTAAAGTTGAACACAGTGCAGAAAACGGGTCCTCTCGTACCTTGGGAGGAGGGGGCCAGTAAATTGGTGCTCCCTGTTTAGATGGTAATGTGGTAGTAGCCAAACTTAAACTGTGTGGACCCCACAGTCTCAGTCTGGGGACCTGGGTTATGGAAATGCTTGTAGAAGTGGGCAGAGTGTACGAAGATGTCATTGCAGCTCTCTGCAGTAGTGAAAAATTGCCAAGAACTCAAATGCCAGTCAGATAGATTATGGTAACTCTATATTAGGAATAAAATGCAGTCGCTACAAAGAATAAATGATGTTCTGTTTAGCAGCAATCTGGAGACAGAAAGACGTGGGTTTGTGCTGTGACTGACGGTGTGCCCTCGATCCGGTCGGTCTCCCTGAGTCTCTGCTTCTGGCGTGAGATGGCGACGATGGGGCTCACCTGCTTCAGTGTTTGCTGCCCCGGTGGTTGAGGGCACCGGCGACCAGGCACAGTGCAGGGCAGTGTTAATTTGGAGAGACACGGTCCTGCTCTCAGCCGTTTACAGTCTAGCTGGGCACAGACAATGAAATGAGCAACCCCACACTGCGCTGGGCGGCAAGAGCAGAGTGTCCCCCAGCCTAGCCTGCCACTGTCACAGCTCGGGCAGAGACGAGTGACAGAAAGCACTTAGAAAAGCAAAGTGGGGAGGTTAACATGGGCTCAGTCAGACGGCCTGCTTCTAGTTCTGGCTCTGCTGTACTCGCTGGTGTGTGACCTTGAACAAGTTCCATAGCCTCTCGGCTCAGTTTCCTCATCGGTAAAATGGGGATAATATAAATACCTCCTAGACTTGTTGTGAGGATTAAATGAATTGATCCTTGTGAAGTGCTTGGAACAGGACCTCGGATATGTGAGGTGCTATATAAATGTCTTTCAAGTACACAGTAAGTCCCTAACGTGCCATCTTTACCATAACTTATTTTATTTTTTATTTATTTTTTTTGAGGAAGATTAGCCCTGAGCTAACATCTGCTACCAATCCTCCTCTTTTTGCTGAGGAAGACTGGCTCTGAGCTAACATCCACGCCTATCTTCCTCTGCTGTATATATGGGACGCCTGCCACAGCATGGCGTGACGAGCGGTCCATGTCCGCACCTGGGATCCGAACCAGCGAACCCCGGGCCGCCGAGAAGTGGAATGTGCGAACTTAACCATTGCACCACCAGGCCAGCCCCCATAACTTACTTTAAAATCAGGAAAAAGAACCCCCATACGTGTTGGTGTTTCGATTTGATCGACTCAGAGGTGGTTAAAATGCGCAGTCAGTGGATGTGGAAGGCCGCGGCCGTGTGCAGTGACCTAGTGTGGGAGTGGAGTCTGGGAGCACAGTCTGGGCTCAGGGTGAACCAGGGGATGAGCAAACGCGAGGGAGGCGTTTTCCAGGAGAGCTGAGAGGAAAGGACATCCATGTGTCTCTGGGGTCCTTTGGGCCAAGGTTAAGTAGATCCTGCTGTTTGAGATGCTGTCCACTGACAGGCGAGCTCAGGGCTGCTGACCTGGTTTCCAGGCTGCTTGTGTTTGGGGACTGGGCTGGGAGCCCTCTCGCAGAGCCCTGCTGCTTCCCCTGTCTTCTCTGCCAGGGTGTGGCTGCTGGAGGTGGCTGGAGGTGACTGAGTCCTGGGAGGTGAGTGGGCGGAGGAGCCTGGGAGCCACCCCTAATCAGCCTCTGAATCTCTGGAGCAAAGTTATTAGGGTCCTGTCCAGACAAGCTGTTGTCACCCATGTCCCAACTCCACTCCTTTCATCCCTTCTTGCCTTCTATTTGTATTTCCCGTGCAGGTTGCCTCTGCTGGATACCCACGCTCTCATGTGCTGCTGCGGAGTGATGCAGGGGTGAGGGGGTGGGGGCATAAACTGACTCTCATCTGGAGTTATTAGCGGCTTTGAACTAGAGCAAGCAGACTATTCAAATCCTGCCTATCAACTCCTCAACTGTGTGATCTTAGGCAAGTCATTTTGCCTCTCTGGGCTTGTTACTCATCGATGAAATGGGGATAATTCTTTCTACCTCACTGATTTGACTGGCTTAATGAAGTCATGGATGGGAATATAATTTATAAGCTTTATAATGTTGGGCACCTATGAAGGCAGCTTATTATTGAAGAGATTGATTTTGCCTGATGAATGTTTCTCTCAGAGGCCTGGGCACTGTAACTCCTACATGTCCCCAATAACCCTGGAATGACTTGGTGTCATCAATATAATAAAAAAGTGCAACACAATAAAATTGATACCAGCCAGCATTTGTTCTGAATTTTTAAATCTGGTGCTTGCCATTTTTACCAAGTCTTCTCACCTGTGGTCCCCAACAACCTAGGCTTGGAGAAAACAGGAGGGGCTTTGGCTTCTAACGCATTTGGCTTCCTATCCCAGCTCTGCCACTGTGTTAGGCAGCTATTGCTGTAATAGTGCTTTGTAACAACCACCCTTAAACTTGATGGCTTACGACAGCAAATGCTCACAGGTCAACGGCACCTCTGGTGATACGGTGAGCTCTGCTCCAGGCAGTGGGTCAGCTGGGCTTGGCTCCGGCCGACAAGCTGGGTTCAGGGCTGTTCCACTTTCGGTCTAGGGTTCAGACTAAATGGGCTGCAATTCCCTGGGGTGTGCTCTTCTTATGATGATCACGGGCACCCAAGCCTCAGCCAAACCACACAGCACATTTAAAGCCTGTACACGCATCACATCCTTCCACCAGCATTCCACCTGCCGGAGCAGGTCACGTGGATAAGCCGCACTGATGGGGCAGGAATAAACTCCACCCCAGTGGGAGGCGCTACCAAACTGCATGGCAAGGGCTGTGACGTATGATCCTAGTAGGGAATCCAATGACGCTTGTACTTTGTCTACTTAACTCTCTGAGCCTCTGTTTCCTCATCAGTGAAACAGAAATCTCTGCTTTGCAGAGTTAGACCTAATTTATGTAAATTTCCTACTGCATAGTTAGTACTCAATGGATGGGAGCTATTATCAGCTCCATTTTAGAGATGAGAACACCGAGGCCTTTAGGCAGTGTGGGCCCAGGTTGCTAGAGAAGGACCACACAGGTCTTTGGAGATATGTTGGAGTGACGTGGGCGATCGATTCTGTGACTTTGGCGGTGAGGAGCCGATGAGCT